GTCCCTTTCTATCATTAAACACTAGATTTTGACCCACGCCAAGCGTGAGATTGAATGATTAAATATACTTTTTAATTTATCTTAGTTTTAAATGTGTATGACAAATCATATGATTTCTAATATTTATAAACTTACAAAATGATATGCATTGTGAATAAATGTAATCAAGTTAAATTTTGATCAAACATATTTTGATGCCATTAGTTTTAAAAATTTTATGTGCAAAATTTATCAAAAGATATGAAAATGTTATTTATACCAATATATTTTAAGTGTAAATTCATTTTTATTATTCGTGTAGATTATAGATCATGCGATAAATCAGGTAAATTTTAGATTTATATGAATTTATCGGGCATAATAAACAAAAAATAATATATATTTTCCAATAATGAAATGTGTAAGTAGTTGTATATATCATATTAATCTAAATACATATATACACAATAAATAATGTTGTTACAAATATAATAATAAAAAGAATTTTATATAAAAAATAAAAATAAAAATACATGATAGAGTCAAATTATTATATTTAGTTGGACTTAGATTTGTAAAATATGTATTAATAGGTTTATGTTATAAAATTAATAAGAATATGTAGAAATTTCCACCATAACATATAATTTTAATTGAAATGTTTTGATGGTTAGTTTAAATGTCATGTTCCTTAAAACCTTCATTGAGTAACACATATGATTTTCACCTTAGTGTCTCCTCTATTTATGATAAGTTGTTTCAGTAGCAAAATAGTGCGTTGGATTTATTTTTATAGACTATTTTTGGATTAACTAGCGAAATGTCAATGACAATACATCATTTAATTACTGTTTACAAAAATATGCTTTACAAACTGCAATACGTATTTCAGAATATCACATAACAATACTATGTCCATTCATAGACTAAAACTACAAGGGGAAAAAATAACAATCAAGGCCTCAATACGTTGAAGCTTATGAAAAACACTGTAGTTCAACTACCATATTGACAAAACTCTTAAACTAAAGTCTCTTTATCCATTTTCTGTTAAGATGATAACTAAATATATAACATGCTTGGGTCGATATTTTGATTGTCAAAAATATTTCTTAAATTCTATAGCAAATATAACTTGATAAAAAGAAAGAAAAGGAAAAATATTTAATTCAAAATCCGCGCATGTAACGCGGGTTCTCACCTAGTTCAAAATAAATAATTTAAGTTGAGATCATAGTAAAATATGATTTACCTTAGATATATA